TTTGCCCATAATACCCACAAAAATTCTCATACTTAGCAGCCACCACCAGTGGTACATAAAAGTAACACGTATGGCTCTTGTACAGAAGCAGTGAGCAAATTTTCTCAGAGGACAACAAGGGTGCTCATTATTTTCACTGTGGAAAAGACCAATTAAAACTTTAGGTTTTTTTCAAAATTCTAGCTAAATACTTTTAAGATCAGAGATGAATTCCCTAAAAACTGTCAAGCATCAAAAATGATCTTAAACTTGTTGCTAATTCAAATCAATAAGCATTAAGTGACTGCTACAAGTACTGCACTTTGGTAGACAGGGGCAAAGAAAGTGTAGATAAGATTGTCCTTGCTTTCATGGAACTTATAACTCAAAAGAAAGATGAGACATAGATCATTAACTATAACACAAAAACACTAACTACTTAGGAGATGTGCATGCAAAATGTCATGTGAAATCCAAGGAGAGAAAGACCCCAAGGAGAGAAAGATTATTATATTAAGGGGTGGGATGCGGGGGCCCTAAAGGAACTGGCTTTTGAGTTAGATTTTCATGGATAAAAAGATTCAACATAATGGTCTAGGACCTAGGTATATAATTTACTCTAAGTCTTGTATCTTTAGTGACTTTCCAGATACAAGCGAAAACAAAAATGAAAAAAACTAAACCACGATTAAGTTATTTCCGATTATAATATCAAATAGCCTGTTTCCCCACCTTCTTCATTTCCCTCCCACTTGAGACAGCTGGTGGCCCAGTGGACCAGAGCAATGGGTCTGCAGTCAAAGAAGACCAGAATGCAAACAGACCCTCAAGACACTTACTACCTATGTGACCCTGGGCAAATCACTTAACCTGTTGACTTCAGTTTCCTCAACTGTAAAATGAGAATGATCAAAGGACTGTTGTGAGGATCAAATGAGATATCTGTAAACTCAACAGTGCCTAGCACATAGTAGGTATGTTATAAATGCTTATTCCCCTTGAATCTGCAAAATAAAATTGAGGCTTTCAGTAACAAGTTGTTGCATAGCACCCACAGAAAAGGAAATATAGGGCGGGGTCCTAAGTTCCAAATGATAAACTTTAAGGTGAGAAGAGAAACAGAATAAGACAAGTCAATCTTAAAGTAATTTTATCTAAGGGGAAAGAAGGCTTAATGGGAAGAAAGTACTGTTGATTTATTAACTATGGATGCAAAATCTTCCACTCCCACTCTTTTTAATTTAAAAGAGCAGATTGTTTTATTTAGGACCTACACACTAGCCATCTGAATTTGGCTTCTTGAAAAGAATTTTCAGGTTTGGTTTAAAAAGTACTCTGTTACAGTAAACTGAATAATGGTTTCTCTTGAAAAAAGGGGACTATCACTCAGCAACATACTAAAGAACAATATAGTTGAGTTTTAGATTTGAATGTTCTGCATCAAACTTTTAAATCACTCTTACAGGAGACAAACTTTTGTTTTTCCTTTAAGTGAAATGAAAAGGTAGCACTACTTTACCCTAATATTAGCAATTATAATATAACTAGACAAAAGATGTATCTAGAAAAGTTTGAAGTATGAATACTAATTATCCGGAAAATCCTAATTGCTTTTAAAAAACAGGCTTGAGTCATGATTATCCTAATCTTTTCTAGGGAAACTAGGGAGGCGTGGGACTAAAAACTTAAATGCTACAAAACCTTTTTTATTGCATGCTATCTATTTATGGATACAGTAGTCTTCCTCTACTCTACCAGTCCCACTCCCAAAAAAATTTGATCATATTAAGTGGGGAAAAAAAACAAACCTCCCACACTTCCATAAAAAAGGCACTGAATGGGAAACATTGTTTTAATTATAGGTCTCTACTAAGCTAACAACTTAACAGGTAAAAATTTAGTTCCTGAATCCCACAATTTCAGACAATAATGCTACAAGTATTTTAATTTTTTTTTATTTTTGAGGCATACATTTTATATTTTTACATGAATATAAAGATTATTTTTACAATGAATATAAAGTTTTAGAAAAATTGATGGCCTTCCACGCTGAAATATCACTTCAAGAGTTTCTGAATAATCAGATCCTATATGAGGCTTCAAAGGGTTATACAGACAAGTAATTTTTAAAAATGCATTTGCTCCTTCTACCCACCTACCATATTTTCCTTTCCCTCCAACTTCTATATCAAAGTGCTACCTATTCTGCCTATTTTGATTGTTCACTTTGTTTAAATACATTTTTTTAAACTGTTAAATCTGCCTTCTCAAAAATTTCAGTGTTGAAAGGTAGAAGAAAGATATGAAGAGGTAAGAAGCAAAGGAAAATGTCCAAATTTATAATCTACTCCCAAAAGAGACCAGCTTTCTGATGTTTCTCTCACTATCTGAATTCTGGTTTTAAATGTCCCTATGGTAATGAAGACCTAGGAAATGTATACCTTTCAATGGCATAAAGCTCTCTTCCACATTACTCTTGCTATCACTACAGATTTAACTATGTAAATAAGTTTCCTTAATAGAATTTGGGGGAGGGGAGAAATAATAAAAACAAAAAAGCTACCATTAACAAAAAGTGACAAAAATCATTTTAGTCACAAGTCATAAAAATTCCAGGAAGAGAATTCACTACTTACTAATAAAAAATTTTTTCCATGTTTTAAAATAAAAACAAACACAAATGGCAAACTTTAACATACACACAAAAAAGCACTGGAGTTCCCTTAATTCTGCTTTTAGGATTAAGGTCCTTTAGATACTTGATGTAGTGAGAAACCTGCATTAAGGGTTCAAAGGTGGGGGGGAGAAAAAGAAAGGGGGGGAGGGAAGAGCTCTGCTCTAGAACAAGATTTGCTGTAAACCAAATTCCACCTTACAGCAAACCTTGTTCTAGAGCAAATATGTCAAACTAGCAGCTGGGACAGCATGCAGCCTGAGGGGAAAAAAAAAAAGGCACCAGTATACAGGCTCAACCTGATTAAAATGTTATTGGGAAATGTTTAATAAAATAAAAATACGGCATTAGAAAATATTCATTTGTGGTTTTCTAAGTCATTATGTGGTCCACAGGGATCTGTTTCTATTTCAGTTTGACACAACTGTTCTTGAGCAGTTCCACTGGCATGGAGGTAAAACCTTAAGTATTAATGTCTGATATTAAATCAATATTTGGAAAACCAGTAACCTGTAACTGAGAAACAAGTTTACTGCAAATAATGGCAATACCCCTAAAGTTCATGTTTTTCTATTTGGAAAGGGCAATGAATTACTTTGTATTGGATCAGAAAGGAAAGAGCCAAGATGCAGATAAATGACTAACATTTGGTATTTAAAAAAAGTGATTAATCTGAAAAGTAAAGAAAAATGCAGTATGAATTGCACAAGGAGAATTGGAAGCTATTTCAAGGTTGTATAATAATTTTAAAGTGTTGGTAGAGAGGCAAGGATTTTATTTAAATATCAAAAGGAATCACTGGTCTGGTAGAATGAGTAATGGACCAAAAAACCCAAAGGCATTATTCCTAACTCTTACATAATAAATGAATAACTAATAATAATTGAATAAACTAATTCATGATTAGAAGCTTCAATCACCTAATCATCTGTAAAATCAATTCCCACCCAATTCCTCCAGGGTGTGATGGATAGAGCACTGGACTTTCGAGTAGGGAAGATCTGGGACTGAAAACTTTTCAACTGCTTGAAACTAGTTGTGTGACCACTGTGTGGGCAAGTTACCTAACTTCTCTGGGCCTTAGCTGCTTCATCTGTAAAATGGAGCTAATAAGTACTACTTAATGGTCAAAGGGTTGTTTTGAGGCTCAAGTGAGATAAGGCATGGAACTAGATGGTGCAGTGGGATAAAGCACTGGAGTGGGAGTCAGGTCCATCTGGGTTAAAAAGTGGCCTCAGACACTTACTAGCTGTGTGACCATGGGCAAGTCACTTAACCTGTCTGCCTCAGTTTCCTCATCTGTAAAATGAGGAAAATAACAGCACCTACTTCCCAGAGTTGCAAGGATCAAATGAGATATTTGCAAAGTAGTTTGCAAATCTATTAATGCATACTAAATACTTTGGAAAAAATTAAAGCACTATAAAAATGTCAGCTATTATTTATTCTAGCAATCCTGGCAAGAAAAAATATCTGTAAGTACAATAAACTCATCCAATAAAAAGGTCGAAATCACTTTACTATCTCAAATCCAATTATCAAACAAATCAACAAGTACTTACAAAATGAATGATGATGTAAAGAACAAGATATTCTGGAAACACAAGAAATGTTTAAGGCACAATGCCAAAAAGGTATATGATTAAGTGCCATAATTAATGTTATAGGAATTCAGAAATAAATCAATATGGGTAGCTGCTTAGCAACCTGGCTTGCCTTCCAAACCAAAATTATCTTGAAACTTTACCAAAAATAAATTGGATTATGAAAACACTATATGATGTTTGACCCATCTATCTTTGTCCTAGAATTTTCAGTTCACAGCTTAGAAACCAAGCTTTAATTTTGCCTTCCTACTATAGCCAGAGAGCTGGAAGGGACATTTGCCGTTATCTATTGTAACCTCTCATTTTATGGCGGAGGAAACTGAGGACAGTGGCCCAGAGAGATTAAATAGTTTGCCAAAAAAATGGAATTCTCAATCAGGTCTTGTAACTTCTAAATTGAGCTCCACATTATAAAAAGGCAGTTAGTCATGGGGTGGAAGGGAGAAGAGTATAACTTAATGCAAGAGTATACGGCCTTGACTATGAATTCAAATCTATTCCTTCCATGACAAATAAATGTGATCAAAAACTTTAAAAAGGGAACTGAACAATCAAAATCTGACGACGGTAGACACCTAAATCTAGTCACCTCTAAATTTATACAATCTTCTCACAAAGGGCCTCACGGAGAAAAGGTACAGTCTGGCTTCAGTGGGTTGAGACAAGTTTTGTAGATTCATTCAGTTCTAACAGTACCTGAAAAAATACTTTCAGTATGAAAGAGAAATTTGACAACCTCCATGACGTTACACCAGCGCCACCAACCTAAGGCCCAAGGCGAGTCTCCGGGGGGCGGAGGGGGGTCCTAGAAATCAAGACCTTCCCCCCCTTTCCACACACGATCCTTCCCTCTAGGGAAAGGGCAGGAAAGACACCCGAGAAGAGGAAAAGAACGTCTCCCAGCGAGCCGCCGGCCTCCTCCCAGCTCACAAAATCACCCCGATGTGTGAGGCACAAGCGCCCAAAACCTTCCACCCTCCCTACCCCCCAGCACCCCGACTCGGCCGCACAGTCCAGGGGCTGCTACCAGCACAAAGAACATCACCCCCAACTCTGCCGCACACACAAACACAAGCTCCCCTCGGCAGCGCGGGGGGCGGGAAGGAGCCACACGCCCCCTCCAGCTGTGTCTCCCGGGCAAGAACCCCGGGGGGCTGCCTGCTGGAGGGTGCAAGGGGCGTGGGAGCAGAAGCCCCCCACCCCCCGTCCGAGCCTTGTGGAGATGGGCGCTCAAAGGGGAGAAAAAGGAAAAGAGGAAGGAAGGAGGAGGAGAAGGAGGGAAGAAAGGGGGAGAGGAAGAGTAAAAGGAGGGGGAGGGGAAAAAGAGGGGAAAGAGGGAAAAAGCGGGGAGGGGAAAAGGGGGAGGAGGTAAAACGAGAGAAGAAGGGAGAAGAGGGGAGAGCGGAGAAAAGAGGAGAAGGGGAGGAGGCGGGAAGAGGAAGAAAGTGGGGAGAAGGAAAAGGAGAGGAAAGGGGGAAAGGGGGAAAAGGAAGAAAGACGAAGGAAAGTGGCGGGGAGGGGGTGGCACCCAGTTTCTCCAAGGACTTGGCCCCCCCCGAATGTGCCTCGCCCCCCCCCCCCCCCCCCCCCCCCCCCCCCCCACCCCCAAGCCGAAGGAGACACCGGAACAATGAGCATTCTCCGCCGCCGGCGCCGGCGCTCCCCAGCCCGGCCGGGGCCGGGGCCGGAGCCGGAGCCGGAGCCGGAGGCGGCCCGGGCGCAGCGGACCGCGGGGCGACGGCGCCAGCTCCCCGCCCCCGGGCCGCCCCCCCTCGGCCCGGCGCTCCGGGCCTGCCCCCGCCCTCACTCACCGGCTCCCGCCCCGAGCCTCCGCGGGCTCCGCTCGCCGCAGCAGCCGGAGGGAGACGCAGGGCGACCGAGGGCCCCAGCCGCCGCCGGCAGCGCCGCCGCACAATATGGCGAGGCTCGGCTTCCGCAATGGAGCTCGGGAAATCCAACCGGGCCGCTCAATATTCATGAGAGACCGAGCCGAGCCGGCTCCGGCAGGGGCTGGACGCGGGGCGGGGGGGAGGCTGGGGCTGGGGGAGGGGAGGGGGGCGGTGCCGGCGCCGGCGGGGGGAGAGACACCTGGAGGCTCCAGCCGCCCCCCTCGCTGCCGCCCCGCCCCCCGCGCCGCGGCGCCCCGCCCCCTCCTACTCCGCGGAGCGCCCGCCCCCAGGCCCCTCCCCTGCCAGAGATGATGAAATCAGGACGTCACCGCCCTGACATCATCATTCCCACCACCCCAAGGTGGTGGAGATGCCACTTTATCAGGATCAAGATCACTGCCCCCACCTTAGCCCCGAGCCTGCTTTGGAACAGGTGTGTCAAGCTGCATCTGTAGGGAGGGCTCAGAGGCTGGAACCAAGGTAGATGGCAGCTGTTGGATTCCTCCCACCTCTCCTCATGGATTCATAGCATAGTCCTAACTTTTGGGGCAGCAAAGACTTCCCCCTCTCCGAACGTGTAAGGAGCTGACTTCTCGCTTGGTATGACCTTTTGCCCACTCCCACCCCACCCCTTTCCCTTTGACCCAGTAGATGCTCAGCTGCACTCCCATGAAAAACTCAGGAGTGTGTGCCAACCGGCACCCATCCCCCCAGAGGGTCATGACCTTCAGTCTAAGAAATGTCTAAAATTGCCAACTATTAACCTAACTAATATTATGGGATTTGGTACCAGACGACATGGAATCTTGATTCCATAGTAACCTGTATGACCTTGGACAAATCAATTAACCTCTCTGGATCTCAGTTTCTTCATCTATAAAATAAGGTGAATGGAAAAAAATTAAAGTGTTCTTTAAACCCTTAATACTTACTTTGATGCCACCTATCCTACTCCTAGGAACCTAACACTTTCCAGAGACCATTATCTGATCCTGAAGATAAATTCCCTGTAGTGCCTACCTAGCTCTGCTTTGTACAAACATACTCCATTGGCTCTCCCATATCATCTTTGGGTGAATTCCCTTCAATGATGCACATGGAAATCCATCCATGCCTATTCGCCCTATGTGATTCCTGTTCATCCACACTATTTACATGTTTACAGGACCTATGATTTCATCTGTGTAGTTCCATCTAGTAGACACTTGATAAATGTTGCATTTAATTAAAATATTCAACTTCTCAGTTTACAACTAAGATAAATGTGTTTAAAAGCTTTTAATATAGCTGCCAAAACCTAATTTCTTTGTTACAGATACAAAGCCCTCATTCAATAAATATTTGAGCATCTACTGTGGGCAAAGTACCTGCTACGTGTACCAAAGGGAATACAAAGGAATAAAATCCAAACCTTTATCTCAAGAAAGTTAAAATTAGGTTGGGGATATAAGATTTATGCACATTGATAAAAGTAATTAGTAGTGCCAGATAGCAAATAAGCTTAGAATTATTGATGTGGCTATAAATGAAATATAAATGATGTGCTTTACTACAGCTTTAGACTGACAATTTAGTATAGGGCAAGGAGTATTGGAGTTAATAAGCCCAGGTTCTAACTGTGCTTAGGCACTAATTATCTCATACGAGGCAACTCACTTTTACTCTCTGGGTCAGAGTTCCCTCTTCTGTAAAATAAAAGAGTTGAACTAGATGATCTCAGATCCCAATGGGCAGCCAACAGGGAGAAGCTGCAACAATCCCTTTCCTCCTCTGTCCTAGTCCCCGCTGCCTGATTCCAACAAACACTGCATGCTCTCTCTTAGCAAAATAGTAACTTTCCTTTACCTCCCTTCCTCCACTAGGCAACCCAGAATCTTTGCTTCAGCTGGGCCCACTCAGCCCTCTTTTATGGATTGGGGACATAGCTGCTCATACCACTGGATGAGTAAGAAGTCGCCAACTATGAAGATGGTGGACTACTGGGCCTTATTCCAAATACCCTACTGCAACAGCCTTCAGACCTCAGACATTGCCATGTGACCTACATATTAACCTGTGTTGTCTCATATTGACCTTTCATTATGTGTTGTCTCCACTAATTAGTATCTGAGCTCCTTGAGAACAGGGACTGTCTTGTTTTCCTATTTGTATCCCAGCACTTAGCACAGTGTACAGTACATAGTAAATGCTTAGTAAATGCTTTTTTCATTAACTCATTCATTCATTCCTAAGATTCTTTCTTACTTTATGAATCTATGATCTCTATTAATGGTACTAACAAAAAATTCTATAGGAGTTCTGAGGGAGGCAGGGTAATTTCTAGCTAGGGTAGTCAGGGAAGGCATCCAGAAAGAAGTGGAATTTAAGTTGGATTTTTCAAGCTTGATTAAGCTTTGGATGAGGTGCAGCATGACCTAGGAGTCAGGAAGAGTGGGATTGAAGTCTTGCCTCTGAAACATACTAGCTGTGATCAAGTCTATCAAACTCTCAATGTACTCAAGCAAGTTTCTAAGGCTTACAAGATAACAGACAAGATTTTCGTCAGTGGAGAGACCCGTGAAATCACAGCTAAGAACCAGAAGAAAAAAAAACCCAAAAAACAATCCAGCAGCTTTAAGGAGAAGTTAAGTATTATAGACACAAAAGCAATCCAATATGTGCTTGAAAGCCTTAATAAAAGATGTCTGAGTCAAAATACTCAGTTCATTTCAGTGACTTGTAAATTTCCATCTGATAAATTTATAAGGGGTTTAGATTCTCTCACCTTATACATTCCTCAAGATTAATGAACTCTTTATCCAAGAAAGATGAGAGCTAACGGGAATTTTTTGACTCTTCCACTCTGACCACAGTGTACCTTCCTGAAAAAAACAGTGAGTGTAAGAAACATTTCCTGTACAATAACTAAACTGAAGCCACCCCCTTTTACAAGCCTATGTGTATGCGTACTTCCCAGTCCAATCAAAGGGAAACAGCACACTCTTAATTAAGACTGTTTTTGGTTATAGTTAAAATGTTTGTGAAACTCATGATCTGTGGTCAGATGCTTAAGCAGTTCAATTGATGCTAAGGAAAGCAATGATTTGTGGGAACCACAGGGACTCCATAGATGCAAGTTAAATATAGTATTTATAGGAACTTCATAGGACAATCATAGAGAAAACGGAAAAGTCATGGTACAGGTTTTTGTGGGCTTTGTATTAAATTTGCTAACAAAGAAGAAAAAATCATATGACCTTTTGTTAGGCATGTTGTAGACAGCATTTTTATTCAAATATGGGTGGTATTAGGCTGAAGTCCCCCTCCACTCTGTGATCATGAATGATACCAGTCACAAGTTAACCTTAATTTTATCCCTCATCCAAAAAGGTCACCTTTGAAGCAGTTCTCAGCCCTGCCATACATCCCAAATTCCGTTCTTTTAGTATTGGCTCAATGTTAGAGTGGAAATAGGAAAGTCATCTTTTCAAAAATATATTATTTCTTTGAATGCTAGAATTCTTACTAGCTATTATCAATCAACTACAAATAAAATCGGTTTCTAAGTCCCTTACCATTTTGTTTTAATTACATACTAAAAATTAATGGCATTTATAATCAATGTGCCAAGGTGACATGATCTAATATTTCACCATTGTTAGTTTCTTAGTATAGCTATTATCAGTTATTAACCTGTGACAATGGGTTTTTTTCCCATACTAGGGGCATGCAAGAATGTTAAAAATCTATTTGAAAGTGGGAAAACATATAGTAAGTTGATAACATTTAGCAGCTACATAGTATTCTATAGTTCTGTATAGATAAACTCTATCTTCTAGGTACTAAGCAATAATGTGATTTAAGTTGGTATTTCCAGTCAATCAGTCAATAAATATTTATTAAGCACCTACTAAAAAGAGGCAAAAGATAGTCCCTGCCCTCCAGGAGCTCACAGTCATTACAATGCAGGGGACAACAAGCAAACAAATGTGTAAACAAGCTTTATACAAGAAAAATGGAAAATAATTAAGGGAAGGAAGACACCAGAATTAAGAGAGGTTGGGAAAGGTTTCCTATAGAAGACCTAAAGAAGCGTACCTCTTTTAGGTCACTGCTGTTTTTCTGGTGTCACAAATTAGAAACACTGGGGACTCAGCTTTTCAGGGTTAAACAGTAGACAAAGTACAAACTGCATTTTCTTCCCACTCTCTGTACTGAGGATCTGGGATTACAATCAAGATACTATAGAGAAATACTACTTTGAAAAACTAGAACTAGGACTAAAGAAATGACAAACCAGTTAGTCAATAAACATTTATAAGCACCTACTATGTGTCAGGTACTGTGCTAAGTGCTAGAAATACAAAAAGAAGCAAAAGACAAGGGGGACAACATGCAAACAAATATATACAAATAAACTATATCCAAAATAAATAGGAAATAATTAATAAAGGGAAGGCACTCGAATTAGCAGTTGGGAAAGGCTTCTTGTAGAAGCTAGAATTTTAGTTGGGACTTGAAGGGAGCCAGGAAAACCAGTAGGTGATGAGGAGGGAGAGCATTCCTGGCATGGGGGACAACCCAGAGCAAAGCCCAGAGTTGAGAGATGGAACGTTTTGTTCATGGTGCATCCAGGAGGTCAGAATCACTGGATTGAAGAATGTGTGGTGGGGAGTAAAGTATAAGAAGACTAGAAAGGTAGGAGGGGACTAGGTTTATGAGAGACTTTGAATGACAGAGGATTTTGTATTAGATCTTGAAGGTGATAGGAAGCCAATGAAATTTATTGAATAGAGGGGTGACATGGTTGGACTCATGATTTAGGAAAATCTGTTTGATGGCTGAATGGAAGATGGACTGGACAGAAGAGAGACGCAGGCAGACCCACCAGCAAGCTATTACAATAGTCCAGGCTTGAGGGAATGAGAGCCTGACCGAGACTGGTGGCAGTGTGTCAGAGGAGAGAAGAGGTGTATTTGAAAGATGTTGCAAAGGTGAAATTGACAAGACTTGGCAAAATCTTGGATATGGAGGATGAGAGACAGTATGGCTCTAGCTAGGATTACTCCTCGATTGTGAGCCTGAGGTACTGGGAGAATGGTATTGTCCTCTGTAATAATAATGAAGGTAGGAGAGATAGAGGGTTTGGAGAAAAAATAACAAGTTCAGTTTTGGATATGTTGAGTTTAAGATGTCAACTAGATATCCAGTTTGGGACATCTGAAAGTCAATAGAAGATAGAGATTTGAGGTCAGCAAAGAGCAGATTTGAGAATTTTCAGCATAGAGATGGTATTAAATCTGTGGGAGCTGATCAGATCACCAAGTAAAGTAGTATAAAGATAGGAGAAAAGGGCCCAGGACAGAACCCTTCTGGGATAACTATGGTTAGACAGTGTGATCCAGAAAAGGAGATTGAGAAGGAGCAGATAGATAGGAGAACTGGTAGAGAGTAGTGTACCAAAAATCTAGAGAGA